TTTTTTTTTTTTTTGGTGGAACCAGGGTTTGAACTCAGGCCCTTGCGCTTGCCAGGGAAGTGCTTATTCCACTGAGCCATCTCCCCGGCCCCAAGGTTCAGTTCTTGCAGAGTCTGTGATAGTAATCCTCACCTTCTTGGATTTCTACAGTTAAATTTTGAGAACCAGTTTAAGCAAACAAGTGGGGCAAAAATTTTAAAAAGGAAAGGTAAGTGCAGGCCTACATAGCTATAACAACCTGCTGGAAGCCAGGGCCCACAACCTGAGGAGCCCACAGATAATCTTGCTGACATCCTCAGATGCAACCTCACAGATCACAGATTTTTAAACACTCATACTGGATTTAGCTCTGAAAGAGGAATCCAAAGGGACTTTTCCATCTCCAGGCCAACATCACTGAATGTGGTCTGTCTGGACCCTCTCCTAGGGCTCTATATCCCACATCTTCATACCATGTCATGTTCAGCAGACAATCCTGAGGGTCCAAGGACCCGGGTGCAGGGGTTTATAAAGCACTGTAGGCAAGTGCCCTATGTGGTTCCTTTTGTACTTATACGTTTAAACTGCAGTTTCTCTAAATGAAGCACTCTATTTTTTCCTCCTTTTTCCAAGTCACCAGGCGCTGCTGTGAGCACAGAAAGGATGCCTGTGCAGCAGGCACAAGCGAAGGCAGTGGGGCCTGCGATCTTGCCGGGGGAGGATGCTCGCGTTCACCCAGCCAGTTACCTTGGTGTCCGTCTTTCTCAGAGACGCTCCCGCATCCACCAGAAGCTGGCACACGGCCCGGTTCCGCTGGCAGGCAGCCTTGTGCAGTGCCGTCTCACCCCTAAATCAAAGACGGGATGAGAAACCACCCAGAGAGGGGGTGGGCACAGGCATGGGGCAGAAGCAGGAGGGGCAGCGAGGGGACTCCTCCTTCCCTGCTGCTGCCTGGGGTGCTCCTCAGCCACTTGAGCTGGAGGTGGCTGAGGCCAAGGCTGCAGGGTGGGTGCATTCTGGGGACACAGGCCAGGGAGAGACCAAGAACACCTTCGGTTGTTCCTCAATCAGCCATGTTTGACTCCAGCCTCAGGAAAGGGTGACTAAGCCTAGTTGTGATTCTTGTATTCTAGAATTAGGACACTGAAGGGTGTCATGAAATACAGTGATTGCATCATTGCATCACACACTGAAGTGATTCTCTCTGTGTATCCCTTAGGGAGGGATGAAGGATGCTCAGCGTAGTATGCAGATCTAAACTAAGCAAGTGGTGGAACCACTTGCACTGAGACAATGGAAGATGCTCTATGTGGACCAGTTCCACAGGCTAGAGGCCAGTGTCTCCTGCATCTCCTGTCCCCACAGGTCCTCTGTGCTGCCCATGCCTCCTCCTGCCCACCACCCTTTAGCTGCTCCTTGACTCATTCCTCTTAGCCTCACTTTTGCCTTGATCTCTTTTCAAACGTCATTGCAATTCTCCAGCAGTTCCTATACAGCTGCCAGAGTAAGTTGTTCAGCTTGTCCTTGTCTCTCTTGCTGGAGAGGAAGCTACGTAGCTAACAGAGGAATATGGAATTTGAAACCCAACAGTATCAGCTCAGGAACCATCCCAGGGCTGAGGACCCTTTGAGCACCAGGGTTTCCACTGGGGACGTATACAATATCTTCTCCATCACTGAGTTGCAGACCAGCTGTGCCACTTAGAGCAGAGGAAGGTCAAGAGCATTGGGTCTGCATGTTCACAACAACCCAGGCTGAGATAAAATAAACGTTGTGGGTGTGTGTAAAAGCAAATGTATTTCTTTAAAACTCCCAGCAGTCCAAGATGCACCAGTGGGAAGGGATCTTGCTGAAAAGAATGCTAAATCATGACTATCACTGATGATCTGTGTAATCACTATGACACTCGTCATCAATTTTTATTGTGCAATTTGTCATTTAGCAGATTAGCCCCTCAGAGCTATGGCTACAGCTGAAAGTGGGCTTTTTAATCAATGCAATTAAAATTACTGGAGATGCTTGATAGACCAGGTCCTTCTAGAATGTTCTGAGGGATAATTTCTAGGCTACAGAATGAAAGGCAACACTCACGTTTCACTGTCCGCCATATCCAATAACTCAGATGGTCCTAAGCAAAAAAAATAAAAAAAAAGTAAGATGTCCATTAAAAACAAGCTCCAAAATGAGCCATAAACAAAAAAATAACTAGTCACAGAATTAATATGCCTTAAATCTAAAAGACTATTTTGTTAATAGCGAAAATAAGACAACAAGATAATAAAAATTATTTCCTATGGATCACCCTTCTTCCCATCTCTATGAGCAAATACATACAGAACAGGAGAGCTAAAAGAAGATCCCATCTCTGTTGTAAAATACTTTCAATCAAACTGAAGAAATAAAGTGAATTTAGACAGAAAACCTGAAAAATAATGAAATGGCTGACTAGAGAGGCCAAACCCAAGGGGCAGGGTTCAGGGGCTACATTTCTCATGCTTCAGATGGAGGTTGTACATGTAGGATTTCCCACAGCATCACGTGACAACCACAGAGCACAGTACAGACCATCTGAATACTTTATTTCATAACTTGGATAGAATTAAACTTTCTCTTGTGAGACTGGAAAGAAATGTTATGTAACAAAATAAAATGATTGCAGAGGTAGCAACCCACAAGAATTGAACTGCAGTAAGAGTTTTTCTTTTCTTAGCGTTTTGCGTACTAATTCGTTCATTCACTCTAGAAACACTGCATAGAATGTCTACTCTTCCACTGCCTCCTTCCCTGTAATTTCTTACCCCATCTGCACAGAAATACCTTCCCCTCAATGGGCCCACTCTGCATTTTTGCACCAAACACTCTGCCTGCATGACTCCTCTCTTTATATAATGACTCTATTTTTCATCCTCGAATGACTCATTATCTAATTATCTAAATCGGTACCATCCACAATAATCATCATACCAAACAAGACACTGCTCAAACTATTTGTAAAGCCCCCATGGACTTCTCTCTCTTTCTACATCTAGGTACTAGTAAACATCTAGAAATTTTGTTTATACTTTGCCCCACTGTTTTGCCTGGTGCCACGTAAATGCCTTACCATTTAGTTGAATCAATGAATACATGTGCTTGGAAGAGCCCAGCCATGGTTGTAGACATTGGGCATCTCAGTCTTTAGAAATATGACCCTTGAGATTTGCTCTCTGTACTGGAGATCCCTACTATTGTAAATTAGCTTACTGTGCATAATGTAATAAGAAGACAAAGAAACTCTAAGCACAAGTGTCATTGCCTAAGGGAACAAGTGTGATGTTGTGAGACCTTCAACATCCTCTGGCCACCAAGAATCTAAGCCATCTTCACCCTGCTTTCCCATCTATGATTCATTGGGCCCAGAAGAATCCTGTCTTGCAATGCCATTCCCATTCTCTGTCTTCTCTCCTTCCTTTCTTTCCTCCTTGTTCTCCTCCTTTTCTTTCTCTTTACTCTCTTCGGTCTCATCTTGCCTACATTTCCAAGTTTCCATACTCATTTCTGCTGCTTACTCCCAAGTATGTAACGAAGTTCCCAGTCTTTCCCTCCTTCCTTTGTTGCCAAGATTCCATTGCACTTGTTCACATAAGCTAAAGTGGTAAAAATTTAGTAGGTATTTCTCAGTCTTCCCCAGTTCTAAGAGTATGATCCCCAAAGTTCCCCATGAAGAGCAGTCTTCCCATTCCTAAACACACACCCAGATCCAGTCTTGAAAGCCCAGCTGGTGCCAAAGGTCCTTTGTAAAGACCATCTCTGAGAAGGAATCGACCACCCTCTCCACCATGCACACAAAGTACAGTAGTTAAGGAGAACAGTGTCCGGAGGTGAGACCCCCGAGCTCCATGAGGTCAAGATACTAATGCTACCACCTGTTGGATCATAGGCAAGTTTATATCACTGTTTATACCCCTGGTCATTATGCTGTCATGTTGGATTAGTAATATTTATTTCAGAGGGTTGTTGTGAGGTTTTAAGAGTCAGCATATGCAGTGTGCTCTCAGTTGTGTCAGCATCAAGTGCAGAGAGTAATAGTGTGCCATCTTCGGCACAATTCAGCCACTGGCACTAAGGCAAAGCCCTGCAAGTCAGTGAAGGAAAGCGAGGCAGAAAAAGCACTGCAGTTCATTTACACTGGAAGCTACTTGGTGTCTTGACTGTACATCCTTTAAGGCCAGCACTCCAGGTATGTCCACTTGCTGAAAAAGCACCCTCAAGAATACAAGGAGCAGAAGGCTCGCAGTGTTCCCTGGTCCTTCATGAGCTCTTGCCACCTGCAGTGGATGTTCAAGTCGTTTGTTCATTTTGGAAGGAACTGCATGGACAGGAGAGCTCAGCCCCGCAGGCAGCTGTGCTCCGATCTCAGCTGCTGAGCACACAGTGAGGCCAGCATCAGAGACCTTGTTTCAGCCTTTTCTTAATTGTGAACTGCCGCTGAGTGTTATCAGAACTGCCCCCAAGATTATCTGGGTCCAGGTCATCTGGGGTCTAAGCTTCTACATACCTGAGGGACCCTGACATTTTAACTAAACGAAAGGAGCAGTAGTTTCATGGTTCGGGAACAGGAACAATGAAAAGACCTTGCTCTTCACAGTTTCTGATCAGAATCGCAACAACTACAGCCACCTCAGAGCCAGTATATGTTCTGGGTATACCTGTGCAATCCACAGACCCCCACTCTCCCCTTCAACCTCTGCACTTGGCAGAGCTGAAGGGCCAGGCAGTGACACTAAAGCAAGATACTGCTCCTAATATCTAGAGAATTTCCGGTTAAGGCCTTTGGGAATGACTCGAGCTATTGGTTTGATGAACCCCACCATTTTCTCCCTTCAACACGGACAGCCACAGTATGGAACAATGAGCAGCTGCAGGCCAAGGGCCAATGCAGAGAGAAGGGAGGTGGACAGCCTACTCCAGGTGGAAGTGGGAAGCTGCTTCTGATCATGTGCACAGGCAGGTTCTCTAATCTCATCACAAGCTGGCTCTCAAAGGCTGGTGGTGTTTGTATCCTGTTAGCCTGCCAGGGTTGCAGAAGAGGGTACAGGAGGAGGGGATGCTGCTGTGTCTGAATGCAAGGCTGTGGGTGCCCTCCCAGGTTCCTCTGTACTGCTGTACGCAGAGCTGAGCATCAGCAGTAGCACAGGCAATTTAGTGATGACCTTGTTGTAAAACGCAGGGAGACAAAATAATTGACATAGGCTAGAGAAGTTCTTTAGGACAGAAAATGTATAAACAATATCACCTGGGCCAAAGAATGGCATTTGGGGTCTCACCAATAAAGAAAAGGAGAATGAAGGAGAAATACAATAAAAAAAGAAGATTGAATCCCTCAAGTGATATCAACAGTTATTATTTGGATTTGTGGCTTACTTCACATACAACTACATCCTAATTGTGGGTACTATGCTATCTTTCCTAAGGAATATAGAGGAATGTCACTGAATTGTCCACAAAGAGCCACTTTTGATGCCTGGATACAAAAGGAAATCTTGGCTGTCTGTAAGGGTTGGGTAAAATGTCCACATTCCATCCCACAGGTGCCTGCAGTGGACCATGCCAGGAAACGGCTACAGAATCTGAATCAGGGTTCTGGGGACAACTTCTTCATGAAATTCTTACTGTTCTCCAAGAACCCTGCCAGTGTCCCTGGACCTCAGCATTAACACAGGCATTAACACAGATCCTTTGCCTTGTGGTTATTTCCCCATGCTGCAACTAGGAACATGAACATATCTATACGGATGAGTTTCGGCAACCAATCACATGCTAACCTGCTCCACTTTTCACCACCTGTCCAATGTAAAAGGAGAATTTATAGAGTGGGCGAAGCTGTAAAAATTAAATGTGTTAATGTACTTAACATCTAAAGTAACAAATGCTAGGCGTAATGATTACTGTAACTTGTTTTTCTCGACTGTGCCTGGAATAGAATGACATTTTTTAATGAATTAACGAGAGTGACATTTCAAAAAGAATTTTGGATCTTGGCCAAATCACATTTTTCTTCGAGCAAGATCTATAATTGAAAAACATAGATTCAAAAAGAGTCTAATGGGAGAAATAGTCTGAAAATGTAGGGAAAGCAAAAGTCTAGAAAGCAATGCAGGCAACAGAATTCAGGCAAAGTCCAGGAAACCTGGAAAGAGGCAAAACTCACAGACCTTACGGGATGAGGGCATGACCACTACAGTGAATTGGCGCACTGCAAGCTGCCCGTTCGTGGCCCAGGACTCAGTCCACGCTTCCATCAGCCACCCCCGCTCTTGCCGATGTGACTTTTTCCTCCACACTGTATTTATTCTGACTGCTTATGATTTGCCTCTCGTCACATGTGCGGCTTAATGTGCTCCCCGTACCAGGGTGTGCAAAGCTCCTTTGCTATCCCCTCCACCTCCCTGGCTGCTCCCTCTGGGACCTGGTTTCCCATTTGTCTCCCTGACGCTGCCAGTAGACCATTCCAAATCCTCCACTGCCACGGGACAAAAGCTGCACAGATGTGGGGAGGGCTGGCACCGGGAATGCTGAGCACTGTCATCCTGGCTCAGCGGGACTGTGGTCAGCTCTCTGGGAAGAGAGGCAGCAAAGGGGAGTTCAAAAAGGAAAAGAAAGACCGATGGCAAAAAAGAAAAAAAGAGGGGAGACAAAATAAGCCATTGAAATCAAAAAGGAAATGCATGAGTGAGATTTCTATCAAGAAAGCCAGTAGGGGGCAATGAGGAAGGCTGGGAGAATAAAAACAAAAGAGCAAAATGCGCAGAGTGGTAAAGGAACAAAACAACAGAGTCTCGGAGAGGCATGAGCTGGGGGAGGGAGTGGGTTAAAATGACGGTTGAAAGGAGCTGAAAAGCAAGGACCACTGGGGGGCTCAGCTGGAATCCTCCGCAGCCTCAGCCTCTGCCCGGTCTCTGGAATTGTGTGCTCTCTGCCGACTTCTTTCTCTTCTCAACCTTCTAAAGGCCCAGATTCCAGGGCTTCATAAAGGAAAGCAGCACGCTCTGTGTAAGAGAGAGGCATTCCCCAGCAGGCTTCCAGGGCTCTGGGCTCTGACCCACTGCAGCTTCAAGGAGTTCTCAGAGGAGAAAGGCGCTGCTGACCACTGTCGGCAGGGAGGATGACTAGGGCTTGCTGCTCTTGTCAGCAACCATCCTCTTGATTCCTGGCCATACTCCTCACCCTAAAGAGCTATAAAAAGACCTGCACAGCAAGGGGAGTGGCACTGGGGGGAGAGGGGCGCAGAGAGCAGGCACTACTGGCTCCAGACCACACAGAATGTCAACCATGCACCTTGTAAGAAACCACTGCTTTCTCAGAGTCACTGTCGCCAAGGTGTTTTTATAATGAGTTGTTTGGGCACCTTTTGGGATGTACATTATCTGACGCCATGGCAAGGATATGAGCTGGATTATAGCATGATTCAGAGAGGAACATTCTTACTCTCTCGAATGGCACAAAACTTCACTGATTTAGATTTTTGTTTGTGTGAAATCCTTCTGCAAATCTGAGGCTCATCTACAAGCATATCACCTACCACAGTCTGGTTTTACCTCCCTCGATCCCAGCCATCCTGTGGCCTCTCTGGAAGGGCCAAGCACTTTTTGCTGGTTGTTCTGCCAGGGGAACTTCCAGAGTTGACTTAGCGCTGTCACTGAGTCCTGGTTCGGGAAGACTGTCCCATCGGCAGAAACCAGGTGAAGGGGGTGATTACAGAGAAGAGATAGAGTAATTCTTTTCCATTTACCTGTTCCTGACTCAAAGAACACTGTAATTTAAGGTGGTTTCTATAATTTAAAAGAGATGAGTGGTCCTGCAACAGATAGTTTTCAATTTCAAAATGCATAAGGTCATAGAAATTGTACCAGCAACTAAAGACACTAAAAAGCTGAAGTGCCTGACCCTTCACAAGCGGGTGAGTCCAGCCATGCCTAGACCTGAACGAATAAGCATGATGAGAAGGATGATAAAAATAAAAGTGACAATGCTGATCGGGTTGATAAAAACTAATTTCCGTAAAGATTGATTATGTTCAAACTTCCATTATTCCACAAAGTTAAAAATAGTCATCCACCAAAAATGCAGTGAACTTCAGGCTGCAGGTCATGATAAGGTTTTATTTTCAAACAGAAGAGCTGGATTAATTTCACTGTCCTCATAGGTTTTGCCTCAGACTTCCATTGGCTTAGGTAGCATCGGAAGGGATGCCTTTTAAGACCTTGAGAATGTCCTGCCTGTGTGTGAAGAGATAGTAACTGGGAATCGCCAGTATGTCTTCATGAGTATAAATATCAAACCAACTAATTCACAAAATAGCACCAAATCCTGGAAAAGTATACACCTTTCTGAATGGATTCCTTTGTGTCCCACGCCTTTGGCAGAGAGAGATGGATTGTGATTCACCTTTTATCTAAAAGCACTGTGGATCAATTAAGAGAAAACTCATTTCTCATTGGAATGTCAGGCTTTGATCAAAGCTCCGAGAGGCTCACAGGCCAGATGAATCTGACTCAAGACAAAGTACGTGTGTGCTGAGCTACACTTGGCGTGAAACATTCCAAGCCCTGAGAGTTTAGATTAAAGGCACTTCCAGAGGCCTTTACCCAACTTGAGGCCAAGCACAAAAAGGCAGTGAGGAAAGCAACCAGCCCTGGTGTTTCAGGAATGTCAGCCGAGATGTCAAACCCATTCCCATCCTGGGGGAGAAGCAATGGGGAGGTGTTTTGGTTTTGCTTTTTTTTTTTTAGTAAGAGTATGTTTCACATATTGCACATGATATCCTTATGCTTAAAGAACATTGTTTTGATCTTTTATTTTATTTGCTAACTCTGGCAACCCTGAGAAAGGCAGAGCCTTACAGTATCCTGGGTGAGTGAGAAAATCAGGGCGCTGAAGTATAGGCACAGATAATAAGAGGAGGGGAGGTTATGCGTGGCTGCCAGGTATGACACTTTCTGTCAAGCAGCAGGTTCTGTCTCACAGCTCCTCCAGTCCAAGCTAGCCTTGGGACTTGTTTTAGCCAGTGGAACTCAGTGAAGGGGATGCGTTGCTTCTCTGGCTCGCTTTGGGATATCTGGCAGCTTCTATTCTCAGCCCCCACACATACCCTGACGTGGAACCCCCTAAATAGCCATGCTGTGACATTGCCTGCAATAAAGGACCAAATGCAGAGAAAGGTGCAGGTGGCCTGCCCCTTCCAGTAACATAGCCTGGGTTAAAACAGAGACAGATTGAAGCTTCATGGTTGCTGCTGCTGCTACAAAGAGGACCTTAGAACTGTTGCAGGCAGCTAAATTAGATAGAAATATTATAGACAGTCAGACAGGGCTAGGCCCTCAAAGGAGAAAACACAGAAGACAAGATACCTTACAACTGTGGGAGGGAAGGAGGCTCCTGCTGTGAGCCAGACCTAAAGACCAAAGATCAAACAAATGCTGACCTCCCTAAAGATTAGCATCCCGGATTGATCTTCACCCTGAGAAAGCCAGGGAGAATCATTATCTGAAGGCTACCAGATAAAGTCCTGTTTTATATTAATGTCCCCTTGCTACATGACTCCCTTCCCCATTTGGTCCCGGACTTAATTAATTTTACCTGAGCAATAGTGATTGTAATTCCGTTGGTTGAGCATAGTTTTGTCCCACCCCACATCCACCTAAACGAGTTCCTATTTTCTCCACTTTAGCCACCCATGATTTTACACTATAAAAGTCCCTAGAAGAGACAGCTTTCCGGGGAACAACCCACTCGGGCCCCCCTCCTGTCTCTCTCTCAGAGAGGAGCTTTCTTTCCCTCAATAAATATATTCTGCTCATAACCTCCGTTTGTTCCTAAAATTCATTATTCAGTTTTAGAGAACATGAACTCATCTAGGTCGGGTTGGGAGTTTCGCTTCCCCTATATCATTTGGAGGTCCCTATATCAGTTTTTCCCCCTATATCAAACTACAGGTGAAATAGTACTGACTCAAGAAAAGTAAAGACAGAGCAATGAAAACTGAAGCCTGGGTTTGCTGAAATTCCAATAGATGGGCAGCATCTCACCTTACTCAGAGAGAGCACTGAATAGCTCTTGGTTTGAATGAATACCTATTCTTATTGGGTCATTGGTAAGCTAGGGAGAGGACTGAAAGTGACCAGGAAGATGGCAGCTAAAGGAACTGATGCGCTGACAATCTGTAGAATGAAGCTGGGTGCAGCGTGAACAGATTCAAGTCTCTCAGGAGCTCCTGGTGTGGGTCCAGGAGAGATACCCCCTTCCAACCCTCTCCCTTTAAAACAGGCGAGCCAGGCAAACACATTGCCCTCTCTGCCTGGTCCTTATTCCTAGAAACACCCAGAACCCGAGACACCAAAAGCAGTGTGCAAGACTTGGTCTCTCTCACTCTGTGTATAGTTTAATGGACTTTTATAGGCCAGTATTGAAACAATTGTGTGCTTGCTGCATCTAAGCAAGTGATCTAACCCTCAGGCCGAAATACAGTTGGGAAACACACCAGGAGGTGAGTACAGCCTACCGCATGGGACCAAACACCACCAGAGATCTTCACATAGAACCAAGCGTGACTTGGGTGGAAAAGACAAAGGACAAAGAGCAAAACTGAGAGATAAGAAAGGTGGAGGAAAAAAAATCCTCATAAAACCTCAGGATGATTTATTATGAAAACAGAGTGGGTAGATGATTTAATTTACCGAAAAGCTCCACAAAACTGAAGCATGTTTTGTCACACTGAATTTGAGTTTGTCTTTTAGGTTCTAAATTAATTAACCCCCAACTGCCCATATAAGGTGTAAAATAAACACATCTTCTGTTGATGCCTGAGTAAGACGTCACAGTGTCAATGGTCTGCAATCCCAGGCACTACAAATAAGCAGGAGGAGTGAGCTAAAATTACGTGAGCATTTCTGGCATTGTGAAGACAGCCTGCATGCTTGTTCACTTGGAGCATGCCTACTCACCGTGGTCCAGGATGTATTTTACAATCTCCCCGTTGCCCGTTTTAGCTGCGTAGTGAAGGAGTGAACAGTGGTCTGGTCCCTGAATTAGCAGACTGCCTCCATTTTTATAGCTTTCTATTAGCTGAAAGAGAAACACATAGAAAAATGCTCAGGCAGGGCCCAGAACAATGGTAATAGCTACTCAGTCATGAAATAAAAGTAACAGAGAAAACCGCAAATGTTTCCACCCTCAGAGGATGGAGATGAGTCGAAGAGGTGACGCACATTGCCTGGACCACATTACAGCTCCTGGGGAAGGTCGGGGGTCTCACCTAGCTCCCGAGAGCGTTTGTGGAGAGGAAGCGTCCTAAGGAAACCAAAACATGCTGAAGTGCTTTTTGTATTCTTTCCTCTCTACCCTCCTAAGGAATACAGAGGTGGAAAAGGGAACAAAAGCTTCCCTGGGTTGGCTCAGGATTCTCTCCAGTAAGAGAGGAATTAGGGCTAGGGGTGAGAAGATGCTGCGTCCAGTAGTTAAGATATTTCCTGCGCCCTCAGTTGTTTGTTTTTTCTGATTGTTCACAAATATAACTACAAAATATTAGAACTATTTCTCATTTTTCTGCACACAAGCACACACACACACACACACACACACACACACACACACACGACCCCTTCTCCATCCATCCTTTTCTGCACCCTGGACTGACGTCTCCCACAGATCACTATAACACACTCAGCAAAGCTAGATGTGCGGGATGAGGGACAGAATGATGCAGTGAATGTCGCTGTTTCTGTTTGACAAAGAACGACGGAGAAAAGAGCAGAATTTGGCAGCCTGAGAGGGTGGTGGCTAAATGAGGGTGTAGTCTCACTGTTTATGATGAACACTGGGACAAGGACCAATGGGTTCCTGTTCTCTACACTGTGGTGCATGAAGAAAGAAAAGGCTCTGTGAAGCTTCTAGACGGTACGCCAAGGACAGGTAAAAGTCAAATCGCCTAGCAGGCAAAACAAGAAAAAAGAGGAAGAAAGAGAGGAAGAAAAAAAGAAAGAAATCAAGCAAGCAAGCAAACAAACAAACAAGCAGAAACAAAGGTAAGTATGGCTTGGTCTCAGTCATGGCCTCCAAAGCCTCATTGTCAGTGGGGAAGACTGAGGTGTGAGCAATCACACAGGGGCACTGTGAGGTGATCTGGGCGGATCAAGGCAGGCACGAAGCCATTCGTGGAAAGCCCCGGAAGGCTGCCTAGAGACAGATGAAGACGGGGTCTGCACCGGGGTAAGGAGCTTTGAGACTTTTCATTCCTAAGCTGTGGGCAAGAGGACAGGAAGAAATAGCTGATGCTCTTCCACAGAGAAGCAAAGGAGAATCCTGTCCTGTTTAAGTGCGTGGTCTCGCATGATCCCCGATCTCTCTCTGTGGGCAGGTCCGTGTGGGATGGGAGCGTGGACCCAGCCAGCCCGTCAGCATCAGTTGCCTTGGCTCTGGCTTTCTGTGGACTTTGCAGCTACTGTGAATATGAAGTGAGTCCACAGCACTGTGCAGCCACCTGCACAGGGGGCACTTGTGTCAGCTGCGCAGAGGGAAGCTCTGGGATCTCCTCTTCTCTGGGCTCTAGCTCTGTGCACTGTCTGTCTGTCCATCTGTCCTTTTGTCTGTCTGTCTGTCTCACACAATCTCTTTTACTGCTTATTGTGTTATGCGTTACACACACGTGAGAAATGAAAGACGACAGAAAAGATGAGAAGGGAGCAAAGATCCTTGGGAAGGAAATGACAGAAATAGATTTTATAAAGGAAAGGAAGAGTTCGAAAAAGAAAAGCCCTCTGCCCCTGTATTTCATCTCTCAGTAAATAGTCATGAAGTTACTTCTTAGCCATTTAAGAAATAGAGCGTAGAACACAGCAAGACAACCAGTGGGACATAATAACTTCCCATATTTCAAATAACTACATCATGTGTCAGAAAAGGATAGTGATACAGTCAGGGATCTGGGACACTGCTTGCCTACATTAAAGAAAGAAAATGAAATCCCAAGGCTTCACGCATCCAGTGCTTTGCACCACAGTCTGGCTTTAATGTTCACAAGACTGTCTCAGGCCTGTGCTTCACACAGACCAAGCATACACAAGTCTCTGAGAACAGCACAGCCGTGCTTGTCACTGCCAGGAAACTGCAAGGCTTGAGGAGCGCTTTCCTCTTCTGGAGAGCCATTCTCAGTGACTCTGTGACCTGGATGGGGTCACAGAGGCACCACTGACAAAGCCACGCACTCGCAGATGCAAGTAGCTCAGCTAAGAAGGTGGCCACTTCTCCAGGTTTCCTTTCTACCTATTTCACATTCAGTACAGGCGCTCCTTGTGTTACCTAACCTATGCCTTCTATTAAAAAGCAGATGATTCTACTGCTCAGCTTTCTCCTGAGGCTTTCGGTGTTTCCGTCTGCATGGTCACCTTGCTGGATATGCTGATAGGTAACACACGCCCTGAGGCAGCTGCCACTCTCAGAGGGCAGATCAAGGTCACCAAGGTCATACAAGGACAGATGGAAAAGTCCTGGAAACCCATGACTAAAAAATGATATGGGTTCACAAGGACCTTTTGGAATATACATAGACTATTTTATATAAACATATTCTTGTCCCTGCCATGTTTAATAGTTAGAATGTACAGATTAACACTATAACATAAATAAAATAACATTTTTCAGCCCCTTCAATAAGATGAAACAGTTTTGATATTAAAGCAGACATTAAAACATCTGTAATCAGACATTAAAACCCTTATTAAAACAAATCAGAGCTAAGACGTAAATTATCATTATTATTGTTATTGTTACATTACAGAGGTGAAGAAGCCGAGGAACAGAAAGAGTTCATTAAACGAATGCAGTCACACAAAATTTGAATGCAGAACCAGGACCTGAAGCAGGCAGTCTGACTTCAGAATTTGCATTCACTCTTAAGACCTTCCTGACCACTTCCCACAACTAAGTGAACCAGAAACTGTAAGCAAGAACATGTTTGTTCATATAGAACTAGGTAGAAGCAAAAAGGTATATGTTCAAACAGAACTAGACAGCCTTGTTTGAGGCAAGTATGAACCCCCGATTATAACACTATAATTCGTGAACTTCGGTCTAGAGCGTGCATTTTGGGGAAAGCCTCAAGCAATTCTTGTAGATGCATTCATTCAATACCTGTCCAAAAGAAAAATCCTGAAATTCTTCAGCTATCAGCTTTTAGACAGCAGGAATTCTGGGCACAGCATAGGTTGCCTCCTAGGCTATGTTCTCCCTTTTAACTTGGCCAGTCAAATCTAGGGAATTCTTCCACAATCCCTCTGCTGGTAGGGAATGTAGCCCCTCTGCCCTTACTTTCTCTGCTCACTTCAGAGCATCCTTCCTCTTTCTACTCAGACCATGCTGGAGGTGGGAAGATTAGCAGTACACCTGATCTTGAACATTTGGTGAGGCACAATGTTGATTTAAAGTTCTTAAGGAATTGCCAAAGTTTTGGTAGGAGAATATCTTACCTTCATAAGATCACCAGCTATTACTGCCTGCAAAATGGCTGTGAAAAACAAAAGAGAGATGTCCCATTAGTAGAAGACCCTCTCAAGAAAACATTACAAAAGGCTGAATCCAAACTGTGGAGACGGAGTCTGTTAGGAAAGAAACCAGGGAAGGGGAGGCATGCTAAAGGTGGAATCTTGGTCAGACCAAGGCCCCTCTTCAGTCAATTCTACTCAGACAACAACCTGATAGACATCAAGTGAAGGCTTTCTGAGACCGTCCCCAACCCCAGCGCCTGGTATAGGAAAGGAAACAGGAAATTTGGAGTCACACCAACTGGATTCAATTCTTATATCTGACACTTAAAAGCCATGGAACATGGGGTAAATCCTTTGACTCTCTCAGCCTCAGGTTTTGTGATTATAAAATAGACCATCTAAACCTTGCAGGGTGGCCAAAAGTATGCTTGAACTGCCACGCATGCCCCTGAGCCAGCCAGCTACCGACCAGCGTAGCGTCTAACCATGAGTGTGGTTGCGCTTTCCAGTTCTTCATACTTTCTTCGAGTTTAAGAAAATTGCCACTCCTTTTGTCTGTGCGTTTTCCAATGATAGATAAATGCCTGCTGCTCTGGATCTTAAAAGGACCAGCGACAGCACACAGGAAGCAAGTCTATTTTAATTGTGTTGTAGAGAGAACAGCCATGTGTTTTCTGTTCTGTTCATAGATAACTGCTGGTGGAGGAAACCTGAACGTCTTCGATAGCTTGAACCACTTGTAATGTGCACCACAGGGGTGGGGACAGAGATGTCTAATGACTTCGCAAGTCACAGGGATTGTAGGAGAGAAATAAGAAAATAAGACTGACAAAGGGGAAAAGAGAATGCATGGCTGACGACGATTAGGGAGACTATGGAGAGTCATCTGGATCCGAGTGAAAATGATTCTTAGAAAAACAGTGTTTCCATTCTGAAACTGCTCAAAAATAGGTTTGGGGGCTTTAAACTTACACCGGTTAGAAGAAAAATAATTTAAATTTATCTCAAAAAGTGATGCTTTCTTCTTCCTGCTTGGGTCACTTCTCAGTTAGAGTGACCCTAAAGTACAGCAGTAGCAAAGTACAGAGTCCCTGGCTGTCACCACGCATGGTCCTAAGGCTTTTTTTTTTTTTTTTTTTTTTTTTGGCGGAACCGGGGATTGAACTCAGATCCTTGCGTTTGCCAGTCAAGCGCTTATCCTACTGAGCCATCTCCCTGGCCCCTCTAAGGCTTTTCTCTTGAACACTGGCATCCATGCATGTACCTGCAAAGTGCCATAGGTAGGTGTAGATGCCCAGTGTGTAGGACAGAGCCCCCCAAAAGCAGGAACACTAGGAAGCTATGGTGAGGAGGGGGGCGGCCTGAACACAGAGGGGAGGAGAATACAGGGAGAAGAATGGCTGCAAGTGGAGAGTAGGAAAGAGGGAAGGGAGGATCCCTCTCCACGGGAAGACAGGAGCATTCAGGTCTGCATGTTTTGCATCCCCTCTGAATCCTGGTGCCGTGTTCTGCGCAGTACAAAAGCTAACCAAGGAGTTGCAGAGGTGGCTGAAAAGAAAGAAAACAAGAAGACACTAAAACGGGAAATGGATGAGAACAGCAGAAAGGGAATTAGTAAGATCTTACGTGCCAAAAGAATCTAAGAAAATACTGTGTTTCACTTTGTGCTTTGCACGCAGGGACCCTGGAGTTTGAAGTGAAGTGACTCTCCCTGGGGACAGACAGAGGCAGCAGAGACCCTGCCACACCACAAAGCGGGTCCCCGTGTCTAACCCAGGCTCTGTCCTGTGCTGCCGCACCCAGCGAGCAGAGCACCACGAGGCTGGGCGAGGCCTGCAGAACGTGGCAGGCACTGGGTTTGTGGCACTGAGAAAAAAAAAAGTGCTAGGCTGGAGTCTAATTTTAACTTTGTAATTTAGCAGGCACATACTTTAAGAAGTTGCCCAATGTTTCCAGCCCAATGAGAATCACAGCTTTACCGCTCGCCTCTGTCATGAGGATCAAAGATGCAGAAGCGCTCTATAAGGGACTGTGTTACGGAAACAGAAGGAATGCTTCTCAGTACGGCCTGACTACATAGAAGTACATGAAAAAAGCATCTGGATGCTGCAGAAAGAGCAGGAGAGCGAGCTGGAGATTTTAAGCTGCTTAGCAGAGACTCCAATCAACGAAAGCCACACAGAAAGCAGCCAATGGGGTCTGCCTTCATGACAGAAAACCCCACAGGAGTGCACAGGGAAGCAGGGTCTGAAGAAAGCAGTAGCAATCAGAAGTCTAGGGGAATAACCCAGCTTGTTCCTTGACACTATAGGAGCTTTTGTTGGATTCAGCAGAATAGTCATGTTATGGAAGAAACGAGGTTAGGACATTTGCATGAGGAAACAATTAATGCAAAGCCTTTTAACTCATATTGAGATACTTAAAACATGACTGTAGCCTGCTTTCAAGAATATATTGGACTCATTGCTATTTGTTTCTCTATAAAATTATGGGAAAAAAGAATATATTGGAATTTTCCTTAGAATTCAAAAGTTCAGGGGCTGGAGAGATGGCTCAGTAGAATAAGTGCTTGCCTGGCAAGCACAAGGGCCTGAGTTCAATCCTTGGTTCTGCAAAAAAAAAATTCAAATTATAGACCATGTAAGAAAAGGAGAGAGAAAAGAAAAATGAATGAATGAACTTAAAAGTACTTGTGCAATAAAATTTGGTGTGCATGAACAATAAATCAAGATGGTGAAAGAATTTTTCAGGTCCAAGTCTACTACAGATCTCAAACCATGGGTCAGTAAGAGGCTGGATTCAAACTTAGTGGCTAGTGATGCAATTTGGAGAAGGCTTCTTGGAGGAGGAGGAGGAGGAGGGGGAAGGGGAGGAAGGAGGAGGGGAAGGAGGAGGGGGGGAAAAAGAGGGGGGGGAGAAGGAAGGGGAAGGGGATGAGAACCCAGCTTGTTCATGAAAAATGAAGTTAGTTGGTAGAACAGATTTGGAAATCCTGGTAAAATGAAGGAATTTTTTGTACCAAGGATGGGAAGTGAAAAGTCATTCTGCCTGTGAGTGCCTGTAAAGAGCCGGACACTGTCACATCCCATGGCAGGGGGCGAGCAGCATTGAGAAGAGCCACCGACAAAGTCAAAGCAGATCGTAGGAGAACATTAGTGTCCTTCTGCAGTCCTGCTTGATCCTGCTCCTTCCCTCTGGGGACACAGGAGGGACCTGCTTGGGGCTTCTCGGCCCTGGGCTCCTCACAGCACAGTCTCTTTCAGCTTCTACCCACATCATTCACAAGCATCTGCATTTATGTTTGCTGGTTTCCAAAAGCTCCTAGTGTAAAGTATCCATGAGTGGGTAGAGGATCATATAACAGAATCATAACCACAAATAATTTGCATTGTGCTGAATATGGAGAGCATAAATATTTATTTTCAAGTCAAGCAATACACCCAAGGGTAGCTATTATGCAAACATTATTAGGAACAAAGCTTACTTCTTTCTCTTAGTTAATGTCCTTTTCTATGGACGCAGTTGCCTAAGATTTCATCTACATAAAGAAAGCCTGAATCTATTAGTATTCAACTTCAGAAACCAACCTTCAAGAAGATCAAGCTTTAAAACAAATAATGAGATGTTATGATTATAGTATTATTCTTTATTTCTTGAGCTTGGAGCATTCCTCTTTGTCTTTTTCAAAGACAAAAACTGCTAACGAGAAAAAAAATGCTTCAAAATTCCAGAAGCAAGTGAAGTGAAATGTTAATAGAGTGTAAATGTTACTGAGTGGATGAAAAAGTTTCTTAGAAAATTCTATCATATAGACATATGAAGTAAGGAATATTAAAGGGGCAGAAAGCTAAGAAATTTGTCATTTTTAGACATCAAGGCTTGAAGTATTAGTTTATATGAAGAGATTTCCTTTTTTCCTTCAGAGATATTTCTTCAACTCAATTGGTGTCTAGGGCACAGTACAACACAGAAGGCTGGCATGGGCCAGAAGGAACTCCTTATCTTCCTTCTCGAAGCCCTTCTTTGGTTTAGCCTGGATTCCTAAAAGTTTGGATGTCCTCAAGCCGCATGCATGGAAGGAACAGATGGCTCCTACCATTCTGAATCAGGAAAGGGAGAGGACAGAGGCTATAAAGATAGTTTAAGGTCATGATTTTTGGCCTGTGCATGAAAACATTGAGTAAAAGTGAACAGAATCCTACAAACTCATGTATGCTTGCGATTCTCAGTGAATCAACTCATTTGTTACCTAGGCATCCACAAGCCATTCTGTGACCGGTAGTTTTTGTTTTTACTTTCATTTTTTTCATACAAGTTTTTTTTTTAAATTTCAACATCATACCATATAGCAATGTGATTAAAGAACAAGCCTTTAAAACTGCTAAATAGCTATGAATAAAAAAATTAAACTTTTAAAAACCGATGTAAGTACGCAGGTCTTTGATTCTAATTTATGTATCTTAATGTACTTACTTCAATTGATTTAATGAGGATCACAAAGTAAGAGAGAATGGAATGTGTCCAGTACCCTGCTGTATTCCCACTACCTCAAGCAAGACTTGGGCTGAAGAGAACGAGGAGGGATGCTAGCTCACTCATTGTCATGTGACAGAATACCGTAGAGTAGACCTTACATGAAGAATGGAGACAGAACTTCTTAGTAGGATTACGCATTCTGCGAAGTGAAGGGTGAAAATGCCAGTCGATTCAACATCTAGGAAAGCCGTGTCCTTTTCTCCCCAGGGGGTAGAGATATTTAGATTTTTACCTGTGTATTTATTTTAATTTTGTATCCTGATATTTTATTAAAATAAAGCACATCAACTGAATTCAGTTACAAAAATACATGCGTCATAGCAAGAACACATTTGCAGTTCTGCTGAGAGCACTGGATGTTTTCCAGTTTTCAAAGACAGTTTCAATGCTGTAGCAGCACTGCCTATGACTAGAAAATAAAGGAAGTGAGATACAGTACCAGCTCCAAGGGCACTAATGTCTCACCAGAGTGGATCTCTCACAA